GTTTTTTTTAAACCGGGCCAGAATTTATAGTTCCAAATTGCAAAATTCAGTCCTTCTATCCCAGGGTTAGGTAAAACAATTGTCTACTTAATTGCTTACGGCGAAGACCGGTCTCCGGTCGCATCACGGCCTTCGTCGAGTATCACGTCTCAAGTTGGCCGCGATTTTCCCCACCGCCCGACAACGAGGCACTTGGGTCTACGCCCGGGACGCACGCGAAATTTAAGCAAATAATTAAGTGCCTCTTCGGGAAAGTTTCGCGCTGAGAAAACCCGAGCCCACGCGGATCCGACCCCCTCCCTTTCCCTCCCACGAGACCCTCCAAGGGTGGGATCCCCTGTTCCGGCATGACATCTATATTGCTTTTCCTGGTCTCATGAGTGGTTATTTATTTCGCCACTGTCGGTTTTCGTGACGGGGATGGCGGCCGGCACGCTTTTCCGACCGAGCCACCCGACCCCACCTCGCGCCCCTCCGCCTTTCCGAAATTGAGCTTTGGATGAACTTATTAAACTCAGGTTGGCTCGTAAACATTGCTGGCAGAGCAACAATAATTTCGGTTACGTGAGGGGATTTGGAGCGCGGGGACGACGGGTGGCCTCCTTTAACACCTCCGAGGTAAGCGCCAGCTGCTAGGTATGACTCTAGAGGTTCTTTTACACGTGGGATGGAGGTGGATTGAATCTGAACTTTTTTGGCAAGGCGTTCCCTCGGCAAGAGGCAATAAGCGCTTAAGCCTTGAAAAATTAGGTTTCTTCCGCGTCCAAGCTGGAGAACTTGAAAATATAGAAAAACGACAGTGGGAAAAATAGTTGACGTGTTGTCGGACTATCTTCAATATAGGGACTGATCGGCAAGATTGACTAGAAAATAGCTTTTCAAATTAAGAATTGAATGGCTACAATTTAAACAAATTCAAGACTTTCCCTACTTAATTATTGTCCTGGACTGTCACCGCTGAAGAGGGAGGGCAGCGGACCCTCCGAAACGTAGTCCGGGACAAAAATTGAATAAAGAAAGTTTTAAGTTTTTTTAAATTTTTGGGAGCCCCGGTTAAATTCTGACCTGCAGGTCGATTGTTGAAATTGATTGACAAACCTATAGACAAAGAAGACAAAAAATACATGGAGGGATCCTATTGGTGGAAGCGGGTGGTTGAAATAGTCTAAGGAGGTAGATAATAGACTAAGGAACGGCAACCCACGAGAGACCCTTTAGTCAGTCCATCATTGAACCCCTCATTCTATATAAACCACCCAAATTAACCAATAGAATCGCACCATATTTATTATTTCCTCTTTGTCTATCGCTTTGTCTATCTATTTCAATAATCAGCCCGCTGTAGGGCCTTACAAACTCCATGACCCAACCTCAAAACACCGACATATCCGTGCTCTCCCTGTACGTACTCTACCCAGACCTCGCTCACGGTGCCTTCGTTACCGTAAGCAGGGCAGACTAGAACAGGCTGGCCAAAAACCAGTACTTTTACAGTACTTTTTCAGTACATTCTCAAGGAATTCAGGACCCTCTCAACGGAAAAATTCAGTACTTTTTCAGTACTTCCAGTTGACGAAATTCGCAAAATTTCAAAATTTGGAATTTCTCGCTCAAATTACGACCAAAATGAAATAATTCCGGACCTTAAAAAAACAGCACTACTTCCGAACTTTCCGAGAATTCCGGACTTGTAGACACCCTTCTGAGGATGGTCACAGCTTTTCGAGCCGAAGCTTTCGCTCCATGGCATGGACACGGAAAAATCTGGGAATTTATGAAAGGCAACATGGTGAACGGAAGGAGGATGAGTCCCCGAGGGTGGTCTCAACAGAAGTCGTTCATTAAAGGCAAGACGGGTTGGGGACGAAAAGGAGTATTTATATTAAAACGCCTTCTAGCCGGACGGGGCTGAGAATCGCCCATTTTCCCATCTCACTAAACCGACGAAGAAAGCTTTGGCGATGAATCCGACAACCGGGCAGAGCGGACGGATCCCCGGCGCGGTTTTTGATTGTGAGTCAAATCAAAAACGCCCGGCAAGACGCGTAATTCCTCTCATTTAGCAGACCGCAAACCGCGGTCCGCCGCGCGAGTCCATCCAAAGAGTCCGCTTTTTTAAAAACTCCACTTTCTTCGAGGCTCCGTCCCGGCGCGACGCTTTCGCTTGAAATTGGTTCTTCGACAAGTCTGATTTTATACAGATTTTCATCACGGAATTTCGAGTGGGAAAAATTTCGCAGCCGTGCAAAACGTAAAACCGGGTGAAATTAATACAATTGTAATGGCGGAAGTTCCCATAGTCACAGCGAGATTTTTTTGGTACTGATGAATGCTAAAATTTTAATGCGACAAGGGTTAATTTCGACGTGACATTTAAAAACGCCGCGCACTGTTATACATTTTGGGGTAAAATTCTGTGCCAGAATCTAGCGCCCAAACACCGACTGACTTTATTACGAAGCGGACTCCATTCTTTTTGTTGAGTGTCATATACGATTTTTTGGTGCTGATTCCACTTCGCATTTATATCATTCAGGGCTTTTGGGCGCTATATAAACTCCGGCACCAAATTTCATTCCTCGATTTGCAATAGTGCATGACTAACCGCTCTCATAACGCGCAACCAGAAACTGCTACAGAAAGCTGTTCCCTCATGATAATGACCTGAATGTTCTTAGCGCGGTTTGTTCCGAAGATTCACCGGGCGAATCTACACAAATACACTCATCCATTTCGTGGCAGGTCGGCTTTCATAAGCGAGTGCCTCACGTGGCTGTAATACTGATACCCCGCGAACGCCGCGCCACACTCGCTGGTAAGAACACGTCGATGTATAGTGTTTACCATCTTCGCACGACGTAAACGATTGGGGGAGAGCCTACATCCTGTAACACGCAACTATTGTTGCGATAGCCGGCGAAGGCGAAACCCAGATATCGTTAGCAAGCTGACGAGCGCCCCAACGGAGAAAATAGCACCGCTCGACGGGTATGATAATCATAATTACTGTGCGATCGACAATTAAACATGCACACTGCACAAGAGCACACACAGGTAAGCACCACGCGTGCTTCGCTGGGAATTTCCGCGTAACTCGCGGTCGGGCCCCTTGAACTTGCTGCGGAAAAAGAGCTGCAAGACGGAGAGACAGCAGGCTCATACCTTGCGACACGAAGTACATAGAAGTACCGCAAAGAAGTACTGTAAAAGTACTGTTTTTTGGCCAGCCTGTTTTATTGGACACCCTGTTCTTGTCTCTGAGCTACACGGACACTGGAAAAAAAAAAGACATTGGATCTAGAGTCCAGACTTTTAAAAACATCGACAAGAAAAAGTACTCTTGATTCAATCAGATCTAAGCTTAAATCAAGAACCAAGCCTCTTAATTAGAGCGGATTTCCTTTTGATTTAAGCTTAAATCTGATTGAATCAAGAGTGTTTTTTTCTAGTCAATGTTTTTAAGAGTCTGGGCTCTAGATCCAATGTGCTTTTTTTCAAGTGTCCGTGTGGCTCATTGTCAGAGACAAGAACAGGATGTCTACTAAAACAGGCTGTCCAAAAAACGCAGTACTTTTACAGTACTTCTTCAGTACATTCCCGAGAGATTCAGTACCTCTATCTGACGAAATTCGAAAAATTTAAGTTTGGATTTCTCTCTCAAAATTTCGAAAAAAATGAAAAATTCCGGACCTTCTAACGGAATTTCCGCACGTTTTCAGTGTTTCCGGACCACCCTTAAAAAATCCGCACTATATCCGAAATTTCCGGAAATTCCGGACTTGCAGACACCCTGAAGAAACCTTCCACTGGTACCTACCTTGAATCCACGGAATGCAGGAAATACAGGACTTCATCAAAAAAATGAAGACTTCTTTCTTTTAAATTCAACGAGGGAGCATATTTGTTCAGACGACAAACCGTGCAACATCGCGCCATAAATGATAGTAAATATGATGAGTTTAAACAGCAAAAAATTACGAGAGGGTTTAATTTCTCAGTTGATCCGGTCGGATGATCACTCCTTTTCCCCTCGACGATATCGATTCAAATCCCCAGGAATTTTCCGGGGGCAAATTTCACGGGAGAATAAGATGCGAAGGATCCGGGGGGGGGGAGCTTTTATGTTCAGTCACGTATGGAGGAACTGAGCCACGAGGAAGCCAAACTTGGCTCATAATCGGATCGTCTCTACACCATCTCGAATTCTTAAATGACTCAACTGGCAACCGCGCTCCATTTAGCGAGAGCAGGAGACGGGTCGAGCAAACAATAGGATTGAAAATTAGGAGAAAATGAAAAATCCAACTTGGCCTCTGATACGGAATCGTCAGTCTGCAGGGGTCGCGGCCGGGAGGGAGGGGGCGGCGGCCCTTCAGTTTAACTGAGCAGAAATAAAGGAAATCGTTATTTCGACTGAGAGAATAATCAACCACTCAGCACTCATCGTGCGAGAGACGGAGCGCGAGCGGACCAAGAGGAAAGGAATAAATGGGCTGGAGAGAACGCTGAGTTATTGCGACTGGGAAAATAGATACAAACAATTGGAAAAATAGTCCTGCTGACCTCCTGGTCTCAATTCATTGCATTCGATACCCGCGCAAGAAGTGGAAAGCGAGCCGAGGAGAGTCTCTTCCAGAAGATCTGCAACATTGCCTCGTTTTTCACATGAAAGCGCGCAACTGCACTGGGAAAAAAACACATTGGATCTAGAGTCCAGACTCTTAAAAACATCGACAAGAAAAAATACTCTTGATTCAATCAGATTTAAGCTTAAATCAAGAACCAAGCCTCTTAATTTGAGCGGATTTCCTTTTGATTTAAGCTTAAGTCTGCTTGAATCAAGAGTCCTTTTTCTTATCAATGTTTTCAAGAGTCTGGACTCTAGATCCAATGTGTTTTTTTTTCCAGTGAGTGCTTAAAGATGTGTTTAAAAATGTGTCAATTTTGCACTATCCATACATAGACATCTCAAGTTACAATGATGAAATGAAAGCACTTACGGTTGATAGACGAAACTGAGAATTCCTTTTATGACGCCATTCAATGCAGAAACCACATATCAATAAGCTCTGCAACAAAGAAATAAAATCAACAAATTTAGATTCGAAACGAAATACTTTCGACTCGGTGAAAATATGAAAATCCGAGTAGGTCATATGAGTCACTGGAAATGAACTTATCGTTGGAAAAAATAACTACATCTATAAATTTCACAAAAGATACCTCTCCCATCTAATTCAAAAATTTTGGAAAATTGTCGAGACCAATTCATTTCCGAGACATTGTCGAGACATTTCCATAGGTTTAGATGGAGAAAAGACAATGTTGCCACTTTGCTAGATCTGCCAANGGGGGGGGGGGGGGGGGTTGGACGCAATCGACGTTTTAGCGGCCAACTATGAAGTTTTCTAGACGTAGAGAAACAGGGTCTCTCTGCGTAATTGAAAAAACGACTGTCGGGAGACGGAACGGGTCCTCGAAGAGGCGATGAGGGCGGCGGGATGAAAGAAAGCCGAAATGCGGCGATAAAGTTATCCGATACGGCGGAGAGTAACTCTCTTCATCGAGTGCCGCCAGAACATTAGGGGTCGCGCATGGAAGCGACGAACGCGAGGAAGAGCATCGCTTTTTTCCCCCCCGTGATCCGTGAATATGGATGAATAGGACGATGCAGCGAGACGCCGCGCCAAGGATCGCGGATTCGCCAAGTTTCATCGCGGGATTTCGCCACCGCGGGCGCCGGGACGCGGGGGTGGAAACCCTGGATTTCGCGGGAACTCGGGAGATCCCCGCCTGATCCCGTTTATTATTTCGCTCATCGACAAAATAAGCGAACGGCATTGTTTGAGCTTCCGCACTTGGCACGGGCCTCGGCTGCGCATCCCATCTCGCGCGGCTCCAGACATCCGATCGCTCCATCCGAGAAAAAACAACCCCGTGCATCCCTCCGCCCCCCTCCCCCCCTCCACGGTGGTGTTTCCGCCCGGGGCGCGCCGGGGTGCATCGCGGTTTTCCGCGCCCTCGCGCAAAAATTAGAGAAACGCCCAGGGAGGCTCCAGAGTGCGCACAGTGGAAGGTAACCGAGATTGAGATGTTTGTTATGAGAAAAGATTGGCTTTTTTTCATGGTCGGAATTTCGAACTTTCAGCTCGTCAAGAGTCGAAGTTAACTTGACTTGAATCTCATTGGTTCTCATATAAATTTCAGTGCCGTTGACAATTGAAAAATTGCCTTTTTTTATCGTCGGAATTTCAAACTTTTAGCTCGGCAAAAAGTCGGAGTTTACTTGAATTCATTGGGTATCATAATAATTTCAGTGCCATTAACGATTGAAAAATTGTCTTTTGCACTTATAAAAGTCGCTATTAATAATTGGATAAATCTGTTGAAAAATAATTTTGAAGACAGAGTACCATACTGTAAAGTAAGAGCGTTACGCGTTACGAATGAGGCGCGAAGTGCTTCGAGAGGTTGAGCTGCGGACCGGTCAGGGGGCGTAGCTCTTTAGTATAGAGTATTTTCTTAATGTTTTGCTGATCTACGAAACTCAACCCTCATGACAAAATTTAATGACCAAAACAACGGATTTCGTCCCGGTTTCGCAGTGCAATAATACATGATGCCCCGCCGATAATGCAACTTTTTGCAATCACTTATACAACTGAGACTGCAGTTAAACGAACGAACAATAACGAGTAGTCAATGTAGCCTCTTGGATTTTGTAGTGACGATTTTATGCATATGTTTCAAACCTACAAAAAGGATATTAAAACGGGACTATGATCAGAGGCTAAGCAAGGGGACACATACATGATGCAAAACTGTATCTAATCGTACAATGCAAAGTGAGGTTTTTGTTATCAGTGTATCCTCTCCGATATCTCTCTGAATGTAGTTGCGTTTATTTCATCGTTACCAATGATTACGGAGAAAAGCTCCAAGTCATAATTGTTTCCGCGTAGAAGATTTCAGCAAAAAGTCTGCAGCTTGGAGAAAAAAAATGTTATTAACATTCTCGGAGAAGTCAAGTTACATAACATGCACTCTTGGAATGTTGTACGTAGGGGTAATGTACGTTCGAGGTATTCAGTGGGAATATCCAACACCGGGATCAATACGGTGAACGAAGAATTAAAAACAATTGACTACATTTTGCATATGCAGCATTGAACGAACCACACGTTTTACCTACCTACCAACCAACCAATCAACCACACGTTTTGCACATAAATTACCAATATTCTACGTGTCTCCTGCCTAAGTTACTAGTTCATGCACGTCTTAACGTAAGCGTCAGAAGTTCTGATACTTTTAGAGGTTGAGATGATAATAATTTTCAGTTCTGATGATTCAACATTTCTAATGCTAGAAGTATGTTAGAATGTACAGAAAGATTAAGTTTTGAGTGTTAAGGAAAATAAGCATACAGAAAACCCACAGTCGCACAATTAATTAAAGATTTTGAATTGAAATGCGAGGCCCTAGTACAAAAAGATACGTGTGAGTGAAATCAACTCAGGGGAAAATCCGAAACAATGTGCAGCGAAATTTGGGGAAATTGTCTTTATATCCTGTGATATTTCTAAAGAAAAACCACTGTGATTCCTTGCAAGGATTCCACTTACGAAGGTATACTGTAGAATTTCATTCGATATTTGAAAAATTTGTCTTTATGATGCTGTGTTAAACGCCTTAGACTTTTCCTGATCACAATGTATAACATGTTGGGCCTCCCTGAGAAAAGAAGCTGCTTCAGGAGCAACTATCGCATTATTACCCCATATGTCACTATAAATTTGCGACAATATCAGGCGCAAAAATGCTGTTTAGATTTCAGCATGATGAAATTTTAGTGTGCGATTGTAGTGTTGCACGCAAAAAAAGACGTCATTCTCCGCTTAACGATACCCAGTGGCCCAGTTCTGTCATGTCAGTGCAGCACAAACAGTTTTATAGCTTTCTATTTTAACCAGAGTTGATCTCGCATAGTTCGCCGAAATGGGGCTGTTGCTTGCATGATTCAGGAATTGACTTGGAAGCGAGTGTTACTGCGTGAAAAGTATTCCCAAGCCTAAAGAAGCTCATAGAAGCTTTCTTGACTATAAGAAAGAATGCTGAAGATGTGGTATTGAGAACTACGTTTCTCATTGACCTGAAGCTCATACGAGGCGATGATCCATTGTTTCAACCACTGTGAATCCAACGTAACATGCAAATGTAAAATTCTCATTACAAGAAAATATTTCATACGAAAAAACAGCAAAAATATCCGCTTAAAATATTCAAACAGCGATGATATTGCGAGCACGATGGGGATTCATTACCTCTCGTTCGAATTGCTACCAAAACAAAAAACAAAAACAATAACAAGCGGAAGTAAAAGGATCTTGGCGGTCCATTCTCCTTGCGACGTCTTGAGATTGGCTGAAGCTATATTTTTATGTTTGAAGTAAGGTTGGATTTTTCGCGACATTCAATCAATCATATTCTTCGGATTAAAAAAACAACAACCAAGTGGGACCGCTCCGCGATTGAACCCCCCTGCACGTATACGTTACGCGTTACCCTCATGATTTCATTTTTTTTTTTTTTTAAAAAAAAAAAGAAAATGTAACAGCCCCCCTTCAAATGTAAAACATTTCAAAAACTGGAAAATTGCATTAGTTGTCCAAGGTCAACAGCGCAAGTGAGTTCACTTGCCGGGAAGTTCATATCCTTTGACTGACGGAAAATAGAGGGAAGTCTGAGCCGGGGAAGGCTGCGATGCGAGGGAAGTTTATTACGCTTCGGATTAAGTTTTAAAGCCCAATTATGAAGAGCTAACGCAATGACGCTGAAACAAAATTGATGAACGCCTGGAGCGCGCGCGCCGGGCTTTAATTAAAAGTAACAACCTGTAAAGTCTTGGACTTGCGAAACAGTTTGCGTTGGGACTCACTTCGTTAGACGCTATCACTTTTATCACTTCATCGACATCTGCGCAGCTTGGGAACAGCCACTTGACGCCTCTGCCCTTTCCCTCTGCGACAGTCCATTTCCTCAGTTTTATTCGCATCAAGGATTTCACTAGTCGAGCTTGAGCTTTGAAAGACGTTTTTGGAACCGAGAAAACAGGAATCGGATAAAAAAAGGACAGTGGGAACTAAAGTACCTATACAGAGAGAGCACGGACACATCGGTAAATTTGAGGTTAGGTCATGGAGCTTTTAGGGCCTAAAAGGGTGGCGAACATTAATTCAAATTATTCACAGTGATTTATTATTGCAATTGTACTACATTTTGCAATTTGGAACTATACATTTTAGCCCGGTTTAAATACAACGTATGTGTCATTAGTTTCCCAATGCACATAAGAGTCGTTCTGGAACAGCCAGAATTTACAGTTCCAAATTGCAAAATGCAGTCCAACTGTTTTGACCCATCGTTTGTAAATCAAGTATATTCGACTTCGTTTTTGAATACATTTACTCATTTTTCGGAGTTCAAGTTGGAGGGTTGTTAAGCCAACATTGTGGGAGAGAAGCAGGGTTGCAATTTTTCTTGTAAAAAAAATCTTAAAATTTTACGTGAAATATTTCATGAAATTTATGAAAGATATTGAAAAACACCGGGTCCTTTTTATGTTCCGCAAAATGTGTAAATTGTGGCTTTCTTCTGTTTTTGGGCGTTTTGATGCGAGTTGCATACTCTACCCGCTAAAAAATATGAAATATTTTACAGCCTCGTGGATTTCATGAAATATTTCATGGAAATTTCCAGTCTTTCATATTTTTCATTTCACGCGTGCAACCCTGGAGAGAAGCCCTTATACGAGAGACATCTAGGAGGTAGGCCACCTGCTAACACTGAGTTTAGCCATGAGGGAGTACATCTGCATGGGGCGGTTCGGTTGGTTGGGCCGAAACTGAAACGCAATACCGTCGTCAACCCTCACGTAACTCGAGTGGGGCAAGTTGCAGTTTTATAGTTCGCCGACCGCTCTCAACCCGCTCGAGTGCTCAACTTTTCGCCCGCGAAACTTTTCTCCGATTTTGCGGGGATTAAAGCCGTAGACAAAACATTTATCTTT